ACTACTACTACTACTACTGCTACTACTACTACTACTACTACTACTACTACTACTACTACTACTACTACTACTACTACTGCTTGTTTTCCTGATCCCACTCACATTCACCCTCCTGATAGTTTTCCCGCGCCTGCCCCCGCCTCTCCCATCTGCCCCCGTCCTGCCACCTCCTCTGTACCACACCGCCCTTCCACCTCCTCCGAGGGTGAGGACGAGGTGGACGAAAGCGCAGATCCGCCCCCCCACCACACCCCCGGCCGGCGACGCAGGGCAGCGCACGCGGCTAGGGCCTCGCCACCGCTCCCGACACGGGCGCGGAGCCCACGGCGGCGGCGGCGACCAGCAGGAGGCCGCCGTAGGGCGGCGGGGCGGCGAAGGGCCGCATCGGGGGGCAGCCTCACACCATGGACGGCCAGGTGCTGACGGGAGCGGTCTGGGCCCGAGGTGCCTCCCTGGGCCGGCGGGCGCCAGGAGGGTCCAAGAGCGGAGCCGAAAGGGAGCCCCTGAAGCGCCAGGGCAGATCCACGTCCACAGCTGCTGGAGCCCTGCCCTGGAGCCATGGGGGGGGCAGTGGACGCCAGAGTCCGCCTTCGGCGGTAATCGGCGGCCTCTCTGCGGCACTCGGCCAACTTGCGAGGGCAATCGGCAGCCTTTGGCGGTCTCCCGTGCGAAAGCTGGTTGCTGAAGTTCAGCAAGGTGCACACTGTCTAAGCCCTGAAGACACGGATACTCTCCAGCCCCCAGGGCCAGCCACACGACTCCTCGACAGGCCTTCGAGATCCCAGGGCACGACTGCAGTGCGGTGGACATGGATGTTCTGGCGGTGAACCCCTGTGAGCATCGTTTAACCGACCCCCATCCCCACGGGTATGGCTTCAGCACCACTGGCCGACTTGACCCCCCCAAACCCCAGCTGGGGATATGCGGGGCTGAGATACCATGGCCCATTCGGGGTGGGTATCAACTACACCCAAACCCCCGACGTTGCGGTCTGTTCACATCGTGGACCTCAGGAGATCTCGACCCATTTCCGATCTCGACCCATCTCCCGGGACTGGTTTTTCAGCGTGAGCCGTTCCTTGACGGTCCTGGGGCACGGAGAGGGCCCTCAGAGGCCGAAAATCGCCCAAGAAAACCTTCCGCAGCGATGTGATCACGACACGAAGGGGTCTAAAAAGGAAGGTGTTCGCGTCATAACTCGGCTCTCCGGCGGCCGTTCGGGGCCTGAGATCCGGCGGCTCTGGAGGATGTCTCTGGCAAACCGGCAATCTCAGAGAGCTCCGGAACGCTCTGGAAACGCCCCAGCTGACCCTGGGCCGGCGCCACGCCCCTCAGCACCCGAGGGATAGGGTCCGATACGGAGCTGACGCGGCGCCCGTGCGCGAGCGCGCCGGGGGCGGCGCCACGCGCAGCGGCTGGGAGCGGGAGAGCCGAACGCGTCGCGGCGGGGCGCGCCGCGGGGAGCGACGAGGAGGAAGGAGGAGGAGCGAGGAGCGTGGAGGAGGGCGGAGGGAGGAGCGTGGAGGAGGAGGAGGAGGAGGAGGAGCGTGGAGGAGGAGGAGGAGGAGGAAGAGGAGCGAGGAGCGAAGAGGAGGACGAGGAGAAGGAGGAGAAGCAGGAGGAGGAGGAGCGTGGAGGAGGGATCTGAGAAGGAGAAGGGAGAGAGCGAGAAGACGAGGTTCCAGAGGCTCCAAATGACAACGAGGGGCTCCGAGAACGAGGCTCCCGGCCAACGGAAAGATGCTCATGATTCCCAAAAAACTAGCAGCTAACCTGGCCGAAGGCCAGGTGAGCCAGGATGAAGAGCGGCGCCCGTGGACGTCGCCGAGGCCAAGGCTGCGCGGAGATCTAATTGGGCCGCCCAGGGGCCCTCAGGAGGGGACGGCGGTAGAGGGTTTCTCCGAAGGGCTTGGGCGACCCGTTCTCCTCCTCATCCTCCTCCTCCTGAGAGGGAGGAGGAGAAGGAAAGAGTTTCGCCGAGCTGCGCGCACGCTGGCGATGGCTGGTCTTACCTTGGCGTCGGTGCCGTATTCAGAGCCTTGGCCTGGGCTGGATGTCCAGGCCACCTGCCTTTGGCTAGGTCATCGAGGTTCGACTTGCCTGCCTTCAGCCGGACAGAAGTGCAAGGTGTGGCTCGCTTCCCGATTATGCCCACCGTACGTATGCTGCCACACGCCCGGCGGGCTCAACCACTAACACGCTCGTAGAACTGCATGTGGTGGCTTGGGTGAACGGCTTGGCTGCCTATACGCAGCTGCCGTGGAGAAGGAGGGCGGAGGAGGAGGAGAAGGAGGAGGTTGAGGAGGGGGAGTAGGAGGAGGAGGGGAGGAGGAGGAGGAGGAGGAGGAGGAGGAGGACGAGGAGGAGGAGGAGGAGGAGGAGGAGCGCTGGCGCAGGGGGGAGGGAGGGAGGGCGAGGGAGGGGCATGGAACGCGAAGCGCGGAGTGGCCTGCCTCTGGTGAGGCAGGTGCGAGAGGTGAGGGCGTGAGGCCAAGGGAGAGGTGCAGGTGCAGCAGTCATCGAGAAAAAGGCTGGGGCTGCGAGGAGTTGTAGAGCGCGCCCGAGCGTGAACTGCCCATCCGAGGATGAAGAGAAGAGGAAGAGGAAAAAAACGGAGAGGGGGGAGGAGGGAGGAGGAAGGAAGAAGATCAGGATGGGAAGATGGGGAAAAGGGAGAAGAGGAGGAGAGAGCAGGATGAGGAGGAGGTGGGGCGAAGAGGAGGGGAGGAGGAGGCCAGCGAGGAGAGTGAAGGTGACAACGGCGGAGCGGACAAAGACGTCTACCACAAGGACTCGCTTCTGGCCATGGGAAAATGTACGAGGTGAGGTGCATACACCTGCGCCGCCAGGATATGGCCACATCCACTGCTGCGAGACCGTGTCCCATGGGCTCGGGGTGCGGTGGATATGCAAATCTGCCCGCACGTGCGGGCGGACAGGCAGATATCCATATCCACCGCTCCTCGAGCCACTGGGACACGACTCCGAAGCGGTGGATGTGAACATGCTCGGGCGGTGGAACACCGTCGAGCTTTCAAGAGGCCGCAGGTCGGAGAGAGGGAGCGCGGCAATGAGGGGACGGCGCGACGCCTTCTTCCTGTTCGCATCCACGCACACATCGCCCCTGGTCCTTCTCCTGCTCCTGCTCCTGCTACTCCTTAAGACAATTGTATGCTTGCTCTTCCACCCCATCACATTCGTCTCGGAATGTTGCATCAACGTCCTCCTCCTCTTCCGCCACCCCCTCCTCCTCGACCTTCGCATCCCTAAGTACGAACTCTCCCAATACAACCTCTCCTCCTCCTCCTCCTCCTCCTCCTCCTCATCATCATCATCATCATCAGCAGCATCATCATCACCGGCAGCAGCAGCATCATAATCAACATCATCAGCATCATCATCATCATCATCATCATCATCATCATCATCATCATCATCATCATCATCATCAGCATCATCATCATCAGCATCATCATCGTCATCATCATCAGCATCATCATCAGCAGCATCATCATCAGCATCATCATCCCCACCATCACCATTACCATCACCATCACCATCACCATCACCATCACCATCGTCGTCGTCATCATCAGCTTCGTCATCATCATCATCATCATCACCACCAACACCATCATCATCATCAGCAGCAGCATAATCTCCATCACCATCACCGTCATCGTCATCAGCATCATCATCGGCATCATCATCAGCAGCAGCAGCGTCATCATCAGCACCATCATCACCACCACCACCACCATCATCATCGTCGTCATCATCAGCATCACATCATCATGAGCATCAGCTTCATCATCATTATCATCATCATAATCGTCATCATCATCATCATCATCATCATCATCATCATCATCATCATCATCATCATCATCATCATCGGCAGCAACATCATCATCACCACCACCATCATCATCGTTATCATCAGCATCAGCAGCAGCAGCAGCGTCACCATCAACAGTATCAGCATCAGCGTCATCATCAGCATAAGCATCGTCGTCATCATCGTCATCATCACCAGCAGCAGCATCACCATCGTCATCGTCACCGTAATCATCACCATCGGCAGCATCAGCAGCATCAGCAGCAGCATCACCATCACCACCACCCTCATCATCAGCAGCATCATCAGCAGCAGCATCATCACCAGCACCATCATCATCATCATCGTCATCATCAGCATCATCAGCATCATCGTCATCATCATCATAGTCGTCATCAGCATCATCATCACCATCAGCAGCAGCATCACCAGCATCATCGTCATCGCAATCATCACCATCAGCAGCATCAGCAGCATCAGCATCAGCATCAGCATCATCATCATCACCATCAGCAGCATCATCATCAGCAACAGCAGCATCAGCATCATCATCATCATCATCATCATCATCATCATCATCATCATCATCATCATCGTCAGCATCATCATCACCATTATCAGCACCATCATCACCACCACCATCATCAGCAGCAGCATCATCATCGTCAGCAGCATCATCATCATTACCAGCATCAGCAGCATCAGTATCATCAGCATCACCACCACCACCATCATCATCAGTATCATCATCGCATCGAAATCCGCATCATCATCATCATCATCATCATCATCATCATCACCATCATCATCATCAGCATCATCATCATCATCATCATCATCAGAATCACCATCATCATCATCATCAGCATCATCATTATCATCACCATCACCACCATCACCATCATCATTATAAGCATGATCATCCGCGTCATTATCATTATCGTAACATCCTCCTCCGCATCCTCATCCTGATCCTCACCATCATCAGCATCATCAGCATCAGCATCAGCATTAGCATCAGCATAATCATAATCAGCATCATCGTCATCATCATAATCATCATCATCATCAGCATCATCAGCATCAGCATCATCATCATCATCATCATCATCATCATCATCATCATCATCATCATCATCATCGTCATCATCACCTTATATCTATCCTCATGCTCCCTCCCCTGCTCATGCTCCCGCTCCGCATCGTCCTCCTGTGCCTGGCTGCGGCCCGCTGCCATATCCATGTCGCTGCTGCAAGCAACGCTTACTCACACCGCACCTCTGAGGCGCTGGGAGGTTTGAGGCTCGACCGCACGACTTGGGACCGTGGACTGGACTGGACCGTGGACTGGACTAATATGCTGCTATCCTTCTTGACCCTACCTACGCCAGAGGACAGGGCGCGCAAACGATCTAGCCGCATTCTTGAGTTCGCTGTTCCTAGCGGGCAACTCTTGAAAAAGGAGCAAAACTAGAACTACGGAACCAGAAGAACTCCCTGGCAAGAAGTGAACATGATACGAGAGCACCCCTATTAGGGAAGAAAAC